GTGGGCAGGATGCGCCCTACGGAGGAGAGAGAACCAAACAGGCGGGAGCAGTGCCAGTGACCACCATGCTTTAGGTTCAGACCGGCCGTGGGCTCAGAGGGAGAACCTGCTCCCTGGGCTGGGCTCCCAGGGAGGGTTTCACGAAACTTGAGCTGGGACTGGAGGGGGAGGTGGCCCTGGAGAGAACAGAAACGGAGGAAGGCGGGAGAGGGAACTTGGGAACTCTGCCTCAGTGGACCAAGGGACGCCTGCACTGCAGCAGGTTACCACAAATGGCAGCTTAAAACAACACCATCTGAAAGTTTCTGTGGGTCAGGAGCCCGGGCACGTGTGGCTGGGTGTTCTGCTAGGGTCCCCTAGTGGTGATCCAGGTGTCACCTGGGACTGTGTTGCATCCGAGGCTGGGGCCTCTTCCAAGTTCACAGGTTGTTGGCTGAGTTCCTTTCCTGGGAGCTGCATAACACATGGCATCTCCCTTCCCCATGGACCACAGGAGAGCCTCTGCAGCCTCCAGGAGAACCCAGTCTTCTTTCTCTTCTAAATGGCTCCTTCGATCTGGCCCGGCCCAGCCAGGATAATCTCCCTTTTAATTAACTACAGGTCAACTGATTAGGGACCTTCATTCCATTGGGAAAATCCCTTTGCCTTTGCCAGAGTATCATATGATCAGGATGTGGTGCTCATCACATCGCAGGTTCTACCCATGCTCAAGGGCGTGAGCCATTGGGGACCAGCTCAGGATTCTGCCTGCCACCCAGTTAAAGACACTGACAGCAGTGGGGAGACTGGGTGGAGAACGGCCAACAGGAGGCCGCTGGCACAAGAGCTTGAGGTGTGGCCATTGGCACCTGGGGTCTCGGCAGGAGCAATTCAGGACACGTAGGTGCCTTTCTCATTGGGGTTTGTTCTTGGCCCCCCAGAGTCACAGCACCAGCCTCCCCTCTATTTTACATGCTATGGTAAGGGTCCCAAGTAACAAAAATGCTGCTCTGAGTTACACAGGGGTGAGGTGTGGATGGCTTCTGCTGTGACAGTTTGTCAGCTGCCCTCCAATATCCCTTCTCCCTCAAATAGAACCCCATTCTTGATTAGGCATGTGGCCCCCAGAATAAGGACAACTCTCCCAGCTGGCCTGCACCTAGGCATAGCTGGGTGGGTATGTTTGGACCCGTGGGATGTGGGGCAGACATGGTACATCCAAGGCCTAGGTGACTCAGACCCCCCCACTGCCCCTCGATCCCTGCAGTGGGCAGATGGGCCTCAAAGATGTCCACACCCTCATCTCTGGAAACTCTGTATGTATCATGTGAGATGGCAAAGGGGACTCTGCAGATGGGACTGAGGTTAGGGACCTTAAGATAGGGAGATTATCCGGCACACACACAGCATGGAATACTGCTCGATAACAAAAAGGAAGGCAGTCCTGATACACTCGAGGGCTTGGAGGCATCGCCCGGGTGTTGCACTGAGTAAGAGAAACACACCTCCAAAGGTTCCGTGCTGCACTGTCGCTTCTGTAGAACATTCTCAGGATGACAAAGATGGAGAAGAGTCCTGGTTCCCGGGATTAGGCGTGGCGGCGAGGTGGGGGTCTACCCAGGGTAGCTGGAGGGAGCTCTCTGTGGGGAGAGAAATGCCCTGTATCTTGACTGGTGGTTACACAAATCCACACAAGAGATACAATGACTCAGAAGGCTACACGCACTGTCCCCATGTCACCGTCCTGGTTTTGATACTATATTATAGTTACATAAGATAACCTTTGGAGGAAGCTGGGTGACAGGTACAAGGGACCTCTCTGTACTACTTTTGCAAATTTCTATGAATCTATAATTATTTTAAAAATAATAAGATAGAAAAAAAAATCTTCCTAGGGCACATCCAAGCCTCGAGGGACTCCTCTGTGTCACTCCACCTCCACCTTGGTCCTGGCCTCACTAGGCTTCACTTAGTTCCTCTGACGAGTTGGGCCTTCTGCCACCCCAGAGCCTTTAAACAGTTCCCTAAGCTCTGAAAGCTCTCTCCCAACCCAATCAGACATCAGGTTTCAGGGTTAAACGTTATTTCCTTGATCCCCACCCACACCCCTGCTCCAGACAAGGTTGTCTCTGTAATTCTCAAAGTTCCCTGCGCTTCTCCTATATTAACTTCTTCAGAACGTCTATTTATTTTTTGGTACAGTGGTTACCAATCTGGACTCTGGAGTGGGACTTCCTGTTTCAAGTCTTAGCTCTGCCTTAGACAGGCGACTTAACCTCTTTCTATCTTAGTTTCCTTGAAAGTTCCCAATGAATCACATCTGCTGGTATAATCCTCTCCCCTTATATCTGAACTGGCCCTGTGAGTTGCTTTCACCAAGAGAACATGGTGGAAGCGAGACCGTGCCAGCTCCAAGCCTACACCTTAAGAAGGACTGGCAGTGTCCACCGTTGTACTCTTGGGAACCCTGAGCAGCCGTGTAGGCAACAAGTCTGCTTCCCTGCTGAAGCGAGCATGTGGAGGGGCCAGGCCCTGAGAGCATGTGGAGAGACAAACCCGACAGGCCCAGGCTCTGGCTGACTTGCCAGGTGAACACAAGCACCCATGTGGCCACTGGCGAGACCAGCAGAAGAACCACGCAGCTGAACCCAGGCCAGACTGCACAACTGTGAGCAAACAACTCGGTTCTTTCAGCTAATGGGCTTCATGGTCCTTTGCTGTACAGTGATAACCAAAACAACGGGGCTGATTATTATTTTTTATCTTTAAATGCATCATAGTAACGGTATAATTCTTTTTATTTATTTATTTGTTTGTTTATGGCTGCCTTGGGGCTTCGTTGATGCCCACGGGCTTTCTCTAGTTGCAGCGAGCAGGGGCTACTCTTCATTGCGGTCCGCGGGCTTCTCATTGTGGTGGCTTCTCTTGTTGTGGAGCACGGGCTTAGCTGCTCCACGGCAAGTGGGATCTTCCCGGACCAGGGTTCGAACCCTTGTCCCCTGCATTGGCAGGCGGATTCTGTTTTTTTTTTTTTTCCGGTACGCGGGCCTCTCACTGTTGTGGCCTCTCCCGTTGCAGAACACAGGTTCCGGACGCGCAGGCTCAGCGGCCACGGCTCACGGGCCTAGCCGCTCCACGGCATGTGGGATCTTCCCAGACCGGGGCACAAACCCGTGTCCCCTGCATCGGCAGGCGGACTCCCAACCACTGCGCCACCAGGGAAGCCCGGCAGGCAGATTCTTAACCACTGCGTCACCAGGGGAGTCCCGGGGCCGATTATTATACTAACATTTTAGGGTTCTTGCGTTAAATAAAATTAATAATTGCAAAGTGCATATAGTAGTGCCAGCATAAAGTGTTTCAGTCTTAGTTGTGATTTTATTAAATGTCTTCTCCATCAGGCTGAGTTCCCTGAGTGCTATTTTCCTCACCACTGTATGGCCAGTTCCTGTCACCAAGTAGTCTCTCAAACATTCGTTTAAAGAATAAGCACACACCCCAAATCATCGAGACTCACAGCTGCACCAAAGGGTCTACTTCTGAAGCAGCACAAATGACTGGCAGAGTCAGTGAGGGAACATCCTTTGACAAGATCCACCCTTCTCAGAGTCTGTTTGGCTTTCATTAAAAGTTTTTCCCCTTCTACTGGAAATGCATCATAAATATTTCTTGTTACCGAAGACATTTCAAAAAATAACTTCGATCATGTTTTAGCTAACCACACCTCTACTGTTGGACATCTCAGGGCCTCCTGATTTTTTCCACGATATAGGTAACGCTGCAGAAAACATCACTGCACACCCATCTTTGTGCACATCTGATTATATCTTTACGATAAATCTCTGGAAGTGGAAATTGCAGGGTTGGAGGGTCTGCAACGTTTTCGAGGCATTTGACAGATAACGTCAAGTCGTTTTCCAGAAAGGTACCAATTCACACGTCTCAGCAGACCCGAATTACGGCTGCCCATCTCACATCCCGCGCTGGGGCCGGGCCTGAGGATTTCTCTCACCTTTGCTAATTGGATGATGGCAGAAAAAACGTATTATGTTTGTTACTGAACCATGAACCACGTCAAAGATGAAGACGTGTTTACACACACACACACACACACACACACACACACACACACACACACACAC